GGCTACGTCTCACGGTGCATGATTCTACAACTTGACCCACTCTGGACAAGACTACTTATTAGAAACCTAGTATTCTTCGATAATGTCCTACACAAAATATCATTCTCAGACAATAAGGACACTCAATTCGCACAAGAAGGCTCTTACGATCTACGTAACCAAACTTGCACAGTGAAAATAAAAGCCTTTAAGTCAACACTCCGCGAAAACTTCTTCACAGCCATGTATTCTAAAATATGGAACCGCCTGCTCCTATAAGCTAGAAACTGCGATATGGTTATAAGTTTCAAACGCTCTCTGTATAGACTATTTCACTCTGCTGATTATATAAATAAACTGTTTATTCCTAGAACGAATCAACTATTAGTCTACTACAGTACCTAAACGCACATAAATATCCCAATTACTCTATAAACGATAAACAATAAGATGGATAAGAAGACTAAGCAGGAAAAAATCTGTATGTCTAATAACATAATGTACAGCGAATATAAACATATGAGTACAAACACTAAGGTGACAGAAAAAACCAATTACTTTTTCTTTGCCCTCTGGTACTTTGCTGCTCGTCTCTTTTCTTCTATTTGCCTTGTAAATAAATAAATAAATAAATTTATTCTCATAGTACAGTACATGAGGGACGCCAGTTTACAGGCATCATCAAATTGTTACAGAAATAGAACCATATAATTTAATCACAATTTACAGCCAGTAGCAAGATATGCTTTACATGTTCGATGGAGATTATACATACACTTGATAAATGTTAATCCCAGTAGTATAAAACAGCCTTTTCACTTATATACAATCATTTCTGTGCAAAGTTGGAAAAATCTGCTAGATTGTCAGTGAGTGCAACACAACAGGAAATACAGGAGTATTGTCTTCGCATTAACAAAAAAACCAGGTCTTTGGTGGATGGTTTATAAGTGCCTGGGAGAAAAAATAAAGCTTGAAGTCAATTTTCATACATAACTTTGTTGTGTGCAGAGTCCTCGAATTATAGTTCATTGATGTGTTATTTTGAAATCAGTGATGTGTTTATCTCATTTGATCTGCAATGTCATTGTTGGGAGTAAGTACATAAGCTTCGGACGCATTAATTAATGGATTTCTACTGATTACGGGTATTTTCTTAGCGTTAGGAAGGTTTATGAATTTCAGCTGTTCCGACAGGAGTTGAGAATATTAACTGCTCAGCAACATTATGGATATAAGTTCATCACATTATCTAAGGAAAGGTGGGTTGCAGTTGGTGACGGATATATGGTGCCCAACGGGCATACATCTGTCCATGTGATGTTGTGGTGAGTTATACCTTTTTCATGTTGTCGGTTTATGTCCATTTTATTCCACTTATTGTGTTGGGTAGTAGTTTTACAAACGAGATTTCTTGTCTGTTTGAGGATACGTATCTTAATCGTTAATGTTTTATCTAGAATTATAAATATAGGCAAAAAACAACAGGTGTAGTATTTAAGCTTATACATTAAATGGACCTATAATTTCGGAGGCTCTCAGATAGGAACTAGAACTACTATCGTTTGCAAACTTTTGTAGTTTGTCATTAAGCACCTTTTTGAAGGAGGCCAATGTACTTGCTTGACGCATTTCCATTGGTAGTTTATTCCATATCTGTGCATACCTAATCAAGTAAAACTTTTGCCTGGTGGCTGTTTTACATTGTTCGATAGCTACTGTACCCTTAGTGTGTCTTAGTTTGTAGCCATTGTCATCTGAAAGTCGAGTGCCATTAGTAGAGGTAAAACCTAAGTGGTTTAGAAGCTTATAGTAAAGTGTCAAGTTTAGTCTCAGGCGTCTTAGCCATAGTGTTTCTAGTCCTAGGGTATCACATCTAGTGGAGTAGTTCGTACCATTTTCAGTTCCGAGTAATTTTAACGTGAAGTACCTCTGCACTCCCTCGACTTTCAATTTGTCCTCTATGCGTATGCTACTACACATGAATGAACAGTAATCAAATAAAGGACGCACACAAACCTTGTACAAAAGAATTCTAGACTCATTTCTGTAGAAGTTCCTGAGTAGAAAGCCGATAAGTCTGCGTGACTTTGACACTTGTTTGGAGATGTGTTCAGAAAATGATAAGTTATGTGAATATTTCAGCCCTCGGTCCAGTACAGATTCCAGTCGTTGAAGTGCATGGCCTTGAATTGTCAGGTCAAGTTCTAAATTGTTGCAACCTATGCAGAGGCAGCCACATTTTTCGACATTAAATTGGAGTTGCCAGGTGTCACACCATCTATCCATTTTTTCTAATTCTTGCTGTATGGCGTTTACTGTTATTCCAAGATCTGTGTTCTTGCATTTATACGTCACTTTTAAGTCATCTGCATATAGTATTGGTTTACCTACGCTAAAGCATTCACAGATACTGTTTATATATATTATGAATAAGAGTGGGCCTAATACACTTCCCTGGATTACACCACTACTTACTGGTTTAGGCCTTGAGATTATCGAGCCAACTTTCGTTGTCTGACTTCGGCCACAGAGAAATGATTTTATCCAGCTCAGGAGAGGATCACATATCCCTAGTGAGCATAACCTGCTGACTAGCAGATTATGGGGAACTCTGTCGAAGGCTTTTGTTATATCGAAGTAGAGCAAAATTACTAGTTCTCTGTTGTCCCTACTTCGTGTAACTTCATTGAAAAAGTCTATGTGACAGGTCACGCATGATCTCTTTTTGAGAAATCCGTGTTGTGATGGATTGATAAGTTCATGTTCTAGTAAGTTGTCTGACACTTGGTCTTTAACCACTTTCTCCATTATTCGGGATATTACCGGTGTTATATTGATAGGTCTATAGTTGCATACACTGGTTTTGGCCCCTGCTTTGTGCTTAGGTAATATGTATGTGGTTTTCCACACTTCAGGATAAGTTCCAGTTTCTAATGAGAGAGTAAATATTCTAAGTAACAAGACTACCATTTCCGTGCTACCATTTTTTACATGACAGATGGTATGTCATCTGTTCCAGTACTACCATTAGACTTCAAAGTCTTAATCGCTGAGTCAATATTTTGTATATTAAAGTCTATTCCGCCTAATTTGTGGTTGCTTTTGCAAGTCATTTGGAAATTTTGGGTCGGGTGCACTCTGGCGTCATTGCAAAACCACTCATTGAGGAGTTCACTGATAACCTGGGGATCATTGTGTATTATACCCTTATGCTCCAAGCTGCTTACAGTATTGTCTTTACTACTTTTTAGACGTCTCTGCAATATCCTACAAAGTTCCTGAGTTTTGGAGTTACCCACAAGCGCTTTATTTTCTTCAAGTTGTGACCTCATTTTGTGTTTATCTTCGAGCCGTTTGAGAGTTTCATGTATTTGGTTTAACGCATTAAATTCCTTAAATACATGGTATTTCCTTTTCAATTTCTTTAGTTTTAGTCGCGTTTTGCGGTCTATAAATGGAGTTGGTGTCTTTAGAGCAGATTTTAGGGGCGCGATTATGTCTCTTGCTGAGCCAATTGTTTTGTAGAAAATATCGAGTGATACTTCAAAGTTATTGTTGATGAAGTATTCTTCCCAGTCAGAACTTCTCAGCAGATCTGATAGGAATTCCCAATCGGCATTCTTATAGTCCCTATACTGATAGTGCACTGGGGAATTTTTAGGTGTGTGTTTAGTTGTTAGTCGGAGGGGTAGCGTGCAGTACAATATGTTGTGATCACTGTTATCAAGTTTATTTCCTACCTCTATCGAGATGGGCTCTATTTCATGACAAAGGATTAATTGAAGAGTGTTTTCATTTCTTGTAGGGAGGCGTACGCACTGCTTCCATCCGCCTACGTCTATAGCTTGTATTAGCTCGTCATGGATTCTAGGTCCTGTACAGGTATCCCAGTTTACTCCAGGTAGGTTGAAATCGCCACAAACTACTTTGTAGTCAAAGTCCAGCGTAGCTGCATGCTCTAGTATTTCTCCAATAGCTATATCAGTCATTTCAGGGCTATTAGGGGGTCTGTATATACATCCCACGAGAATTTTATTTTCGTTTGTGTGGATGCTTATCCACTTAGATTCAGGGAGTTTGTCAGTAGTTGGGTTATTGAAAGTATTGGAGTTAGTGGATTTAGAGGCATATATTAAGCAGCCGCCTCCTCTTTTGCCAACTCTATCCTTCCTATAGATGTCGTAGTTGTCTATTACTAGCTTTGAGTCAGGTATATCAGTAGTAAGCCAGGTTTCAGTCACCATTATTAGTGTTGGCCGTTCTATGTATGCCAGGCAGTGAAGCGATGTTATTTTGTTAAGGAGAGATCTAGCATTCAGGAGCATAATCGTTAGTAAACCAGAGTTATTGGAGGAGAGGTTAACATGGTTACTTGTTTCTATCCCTACGTTATGTTTGGAGGGGCTCTGAGGTGAGACAGAGTCAGTGTGTGTACTATTTCCTGGATGCATTGTGCAGCGAGTGGGGCTATTGTTTGCTGCATCCGAAAATAATCCTGTTGCATGTTTT